ATATATATATATCCCTTTGTCAAACAATTCATCCATACATCCGTTTCATTTTCTAAAAAAAATTTTGACCTCATTATTTTTAATTGATTTTAATGATTTATAAAAATAACATAACTCGATTTTCAGTGACATGACAGACTTCTTTTTGGTGACATATTCAGGACTTCTCCAATCATTCAGTCCACTTAAATCCTGTCCCTTTCTTACCATCGTCTGCATGCTTGCATTCAGATCTGCCTCAATCTAATCAACAACCGATGGATAGAACCAAGACAACATTATTTTTTATTTATTTTTTTTTTACAGAAGAAATTATCTGTCACTACTTCCATAACAACTTTAAGTACTATGTGAATGCACAAGGCTAACACTACCAAACACAACAGCTCCTTCATCAACTCACCTTTTTTTAATAAGGTCCAGGGCGGATCCCAGGAAGCCATCCCTCATTTTGTAGATTTTGGCTCCATAGCTGGAAAGGTCTGTTCCGTCCAGAAGGATTGCCGGGCAGCAGCTGGATGGGCCATCGCCACTCTCCCTGCGGGGCGGGAAGGGGAGAACAGCTACATCTGTGGCCCCAGGGCCTGCTGGGCCCTTTGTCTCCTTGCCTCTTCCTGTAGCAGCTTGAGGGTGTAATGGAGAGCGAGCAACTGGGCCTGTGCAGATGGGTCCTCCTGGGACCTCTGCGGTGGAACTGGGCTCAGACGTCTCCGCTCCGCTGTGGTTCGAATCCTGAGCTGTGTTGATGTCAATGTCAGTCCTTTCAGCACTTTGCGTTTCCTCTGTCTGTATTCTTTCCTCTCTATGCTTGTCGTTACTCTCCATTTCAGAGGACCTGTGGTTTTTAATGCCCTCCTTTTGTCTCATTCTCTTAAACTCCTCAAATGTAGGTATGTGCAGGCGGCCCATCGGGGATCTTTTCCTCTCAGGGGTCGACTGGGCAGAGTTAGTGCAGATGGGATCTGCCGTATGAGCTTTACTCATGGTACTAGACTCCTGTCTAGAGTTCAGTGTCAAGTTAGGGGTGCTTCGTTGCCTTCGGAGCTGCAGTCGTCGGAGTGCTTCCTGTTTGATCTCCTCGGGACTGGTGATGCGACGGGCACTCAACTCTTGCTGTACATTCCTGTGCAATGATGGCCGAACCGCTACGTCCTGATCGCACGGATACAGCGGAGAAGGTGCACTACCAAGCACAGGTTGAGGACGTAAGGGCTTGTGAGGCTCCGTCACACGTGTGCTCTGGAGCCGCAGCTTGTCTCGAAGACCCTTCCGAGCATTTCCGTTCATGCCCCAGTCCTCAACCGCAGGTAAAAGCCATTGTGGGAAGAGCGGTATATCCTTCCTCACCACTCCTTGGTGGCCGTAGATTGCCATGCCTTCATGGGAAGGCATTAAGCCGTAAACCTGCGGTCCCTGAGGAGGTCCGTTGTACCAGTGGCTGCTTGAAGTGCAGTGAAGTATAAGCTCACTGTCCACGCTCCTGTAAGGATACGCATTGGGATCGGACATGGCAGCCCAGTGCAGGTTTTCCAGGCTGCGGTAAAGCCGGGTGCCGCCGGTGTTCACGCAGCCCTGTGGAAAGCACATCGCCCCGTAGCCAGACTGGCCATCAGGCTGTTTAAGGGGATGCATACTGCTGGTGGAGCAGTAGACCCCCAGGTTGCTGAGCAGGCCATTGTTGTTGTTGCAGTGGCCCGGAGCTACATCCTGGGCAGGGAAGGGGGGCACGCCATGATGAGGGAAAGCAGACAGTGGGGAGCTGAGGACGGACAGGTCCATGGACAAGTCCATGCTGCAGCCTGCAGGAGAGCCTGCTGGGGAGTACTCACATTGTGGGGCTTTCACATCCGGCATGGCCACAGAAATAGCTGCCATATTCCAGAAAGGAGCATCGGGATCACAGCCCTGCAGAAATGCACAGACAAGGCATTGACATCATGTCGGCAGAACAATTTTATATGCTTGAAATTGCTCTGCATCTAAACATCAGTAATTCACCAACACCTGCTGTTTAAAAATGGTTTTGTGTAAAAATGAGAAAGTATGTTAGTGTCTTGTATAGACTTTTGTCAAATTCTGCCCACTATCACCTTTGCTCAAACTACTGTGAAAACGCTATACAAATAAATCAAACTAAAAAATAATTTTTATCAGGGTATGATAAATTTATCGAATTTTAAATTCGAACAATATTTGGTATCACTTTAGTATAGGGACCAATTCTCACTATTAACTATTTGCTTATTAGCATGCCTATTATTAACATATTGGCTGTTTTTAGTACTTATAAAGCATTTATTCTGCATGACCATATTCTACATCCTTAATCCTATTAGTAAGCAGCAAATTAGGACATTATTGAGGCAAAAGTCATAGTTAATGGTTAATAGCAAAGAATAGTTCATGGTTAATAGCAAGAATTGGACCTTAAAATAAAGTGTGACCCAATATCCTAATTAGAAAAAGATACATCAGTACTATAAAGTAAACATTTTTGGCTTTTAATTTCGTTTGGCTTTAGTACAATCACATTAAAAAAATATAGCATTTTGAAAGATGTTATTTAACAACTTTTCTCACACAGCATAACTGGGTCTTTATTGTTTATAATTGACTGCTGTGGAAAATATTAAAACATTTTTAACTGGCATACTGTTTCTTCATGGTTTGGCCAAAATAAAAATAAATAACCAAAATATGTAAGAAATATATTCCACTGATAATCTTTGGGTATATGTAAGCAACTGAGGATTTTAAAATACCAGATAAAATCTAAAATTACCTCAGGTTTCAAAATTAATCATGAGGATGTGCTACCGAGGATTAGTGCAGATGATTCTGAAAATGCAAAATTACTTCCTTGAAACATTGACTGTATGTAACATTTGCTAATGGCTTGTATGTAAGGGATTCTGTTGCTCACTTGTGTTAGCAACAACCCCACAAATAGCCCTCACTATCCCTATAAAAGTGCCCTAAAATGGTGCAAAAATGAAATTCACCCTACATTTCTCACATATTTAAAAACTGTACAAAGCTACCAGTATTCCTCTTGCGGTTGCTGTTGCATACTAATCTAAATCACATCAAATGACCCTTCTAAAGACAAAACTAAAGCTAAAGCTAAAGCTAAGTAACACAGTTCAATGACCACTACAGTAATTATAATGCTCATCATGCGTAGTTCCTATGACTTACAGGCTTAATCAAATTCATATTCTAAAAATAGCTAATTCTTTTTTACAAATCAAATGGTGGTGGTGGTGGTGGTGGTGGTGGCGGGGGGGGGTATGTCTGGTATTAACCTATGACTTGTATAATTAAATTCATATTCTAAAAATGGCTCGTTCTTTTTTACAAATCAAATGGTGGGAGGGAGTTCTGTCTGGAATTAAAAACATTAAACCGAGAGGGAGGAAAATCAGAAGGGACAGTAATGAAGAGAGCCACAACACTCGCCCGGGGCTCTTATTCCACTAATCAGATGAGAACTGTGGATTAGCAAGGAGAGCGCTTCTCTTTCAGTAATTAGTACAAATTTCCTTGCTTTGGGCCATATTAATATCCACCCGTAATCTTAAACAGAAATCAGGGTCAAGCCAGGAGTTACAAAAGAACATGTCACAATAATTCCGGGCAGCAGAGTCAGGACAAATCCATCTAGATGAATATTCGATTCTATGTGGGGGAAGCCCAGCATGTTCAGATGTTCAATTAACGTTTGGCCCAATTTAATTAAAATGGAGCTATTGAAACCGCTCTGGTTTTATCAGGCTAATTTCAACACTCCATTTAGGAGATAAGAAGATCGAAAGCCCCCTTTTTGTTTTTCTGTGAATTGTACAGTGGAGCGCTCGGGAGGATTTATCTTCGTGGGCGACTAGACTCACTGTCTCAATGGCGCTGCCAGTGTTTTCTTTCGCTTGCGCTTGAAAACTGCTGACGTGTGAATAAACAGTCAATTAGCATAAGGAGCTTGTTTAATGAGCATGTGGCACAGGATCAGCTCACGCCGGGCCCACTATGTCCTCTCTGTGTGTGACAGACAGGCAGATGCTCCGTTTCCTATTTGAGCAGAATTATTACGGACACAAGAAAGCAAGAGCAGACAGTCCCTCACTGAGGCAAGAGCTTCAAACCAAGCCAAAATACACTCAAACTTGAGGATTCATGACAAACTAATCAGGTTCCCTGATTGATTTTACATTATGTACTTTACATATCTGGACTATACGGCTATACTTATATCTGTAGGCCTCTGCTAGAAAGTGTGTTAGAGAACCTTTTAGGATTGCAATATGTTAGTCTTTTGTTGTGTTAGTCATAAAAACTTACCCCATTTTAATCAACTCTGTGTGTGCACCTTTACTCGGCTTGCTTTAGGCTCTCATTCACAGGCTCTGAGCCAACAGAATCTCTTTTGGTTTGGATTAGAGGTAGACAAACCATCCACAACGCCAGACTGCTGAGACCTCAAGCACAGGCAGCTACAAAAGAAGAGAAAAAACATCAAGACAGATATCCAAAAATAATACAAATCAATTTCTGGAACAAACAAAGGATCCTGCAGTATTTCTAAGGATTTTGTGTTTCTGTTTTCTCTGAGAAAATGCATTCACTTTGACTGAGGAAATTTTGTTAAGAAGTCAAACACTGAATAAAACAGTCATCATTGGGGTTTCCATTATATAAACACACACACACACACACACACACACACACACACACACACAAAACAAAACAAAAATATTTCTTTGGATTAAAGATATGATTCAACTTAATAATATTCTAGCTTTCTAAGAAAGGTCTAAATATTTTTGTGAGGAAATCAATTATAATAATAAGGATAACAATAATTGTTTATAATATTCATAAACAAATATTAACACACAACAAACTGTATTACAAAATTAATTCTCAAAATATTCCAAATTGCATGTACTTCGACCTCCTGTGATTCAAGACTCTGAAATTCAAGGCATGTTGTGGAGTTGGCTTTACAATTTTATCTCCTCTCACCTCAATATCAGCCAGAGACCTTCTGGAAATAGTTCAAGTTGTGATAGTGGCATGTCAGTGAATGCAGTTTCAATGATTTCTCATTACTGAGGAGGACACAGCTCGACCTCCACCAGGATGGAGTCAGGCTTCAGTCAATAAACACATTCAGTTGCTCTTCTACTCCATCGTACTAATCGCAAGAGCTCTTGGTGTTTGACGAATGTCTGTCAGTATGTGGTCCAGCTGCTCACTAACACGTCTCAGAGTAACAAAACCCTGAGGATTACAGCGGGACAGCCAAATAAGAAGAGGCACCTTTAGAGTTGTACTTGCGATATGCATGCACAAACATTCCATGCAGTCACTTTAGTATGATTTATGACTAAATGACTCTTATGAGCGGTTCTTTTAATGAATCGTTTAAATTCTTCTCTGAATAAACTCACTAATATAGCCAGCACACAAATACACACTAAACACCTTTGTATAAAGAAGTGACAATGCCTCATTATCACCTCATTTTGGCACCTCCGCCAGTTCAATCCCTTGAGTCTACAACCATAAAGAAAAAAACAAAAGAACTGTATCCACATCTATTCTCTGCAGGTGCTGCTTACACTTCCTACACCTGCAAATGTGGAATTTTTATTCTTTTCCATCGAGCCGCTGCTGTAGTAAGGCTGCACACTGATCTATGAAGCCGGCTCCATAGGGTATCAAAGACTAAAAGGCCGCATATTGATTGTATCTGCAGGTTTGTGTGATAGCACAGCAGGGGTTTTTCTAGGTTTGGGGAGGTGGAAAGACATGGAGCGCAGATGGAGATTCACAGTATGATTATGCTGCAGAAGACTGACCTCATGATTGGTCGTTGAGATTGATCTATTTCATCTGAGGTCACAATGGCCACAGCGGCAGATATCAACCTATTTCTAACCACTGGATTTGTGCTTCCACGAGAAGGATTTTTAAGCTGTTTCCAGGAGCAATTTCAGTGAAAGAGGGGGTCGTATAAGTACACTGGTTTTGAAAATTGTTGAAATCTGCATGTTTGAGAAGAATATACAGTAAGCTTTAGTTGAAATGGAGATGGTTTACAGAGTGAATGTGGGTAGGATGTGCTCGGATTAGTACCTGTTGGCGATTTTGCCTAATCCATCTGATCCTGTGGAAAGCCGATATGTGGGAAAGCTCAGGAAGTTTACTAGCTATTGATCATTGGCTGCTTATCTCCAATATCTTGCAGTAAGTGGACTAAAGGCTATATTTACAGTCACATTATCCGCATTAGGATTTATGTTGTAAATCCTAAATGTGAATGAGCTTGTAATGTATGATTTATAGGGATGGAACGATCGATACAAATATGTGATGATTCAAATCGGTTGAGATGTTAAATGAATCGCGATACAGTTGGGGGTGTGAGTTAAATGTATCTCTGAGGAGAACTGACTGTCTTTAGAAAAGTCTAGATGGTATTTTCTTTTAATCTTGCCTCTGTATAATGTATATTAATGTAGCAGCACTGGTTTGTTTACAGTGGCAACCAAGGAAACGTTGTATCGCTGCTGTTCCATAAGCGCCACCTGCTGTCAGAGAGTGATATTGCATTTCTCATTCTGGTTTTGCTGTAAATTTTGAAAATATACAATTTAATTTTGATTAAAAACTGCTCATGATGCTTGGATCGTGATTGAAATACAGTGGTTGCTTCTCATTTTAAATGAAAGAGCACAGGCAAATCCTTAGTTTGTTTATATAAAGATATTTCTTTTATTTGTATTATTTCTTTATTTGATTTGGGGTTTTGTTTGAAAATTTCTATTTAGTTATATTATTCTACATATTTTAATTTCACAAAGAAATGTGCATCATTTTGTCCAAGCAATAATAAAAGGACACCTTTTCATTTATACTGTAATTTTAAATCTCATTATGGTAAAAAAAAAATCGTTGTATGGTAAAAAAAAAAAAAAAAGTATCGTAAAATCAGTATCGTGAATTGTATCATTTCATTAGTTGAGTGGCACACACATTATACATAAATTTTTGAACACAGCATGTTTGAATACTATTCTTTGTCAATTTATTTAGCTAGTGGAATGGCATTAATACACTTAAGTGCCTTTTGAGCCCAAACACTTTTTTGGTCACTCTAAAGCCTGAATAATGCTTCATAGCATTGTTCATCTGTTTCTGAGGCGGGTGAAGTAGTCATGGAGGTGAGGTAGTTACAGTAGAAGCGAGAGCTGTATAATCAGATGCAGAACTGAAGATCTTCTCTATTACCTGTCAGCGGAGCACCGCACTCATTCTGACAAGAGCAGCCGAGACAGACCTGGGTTACGGCTCTTCAAAGTAAGAAGAGACGCAATCACCACATGTTAGAGTGAGGCTCAGGAGAGGTGAAGACTCAAGTACCAGCATACCTCAGTTAATTATGCTTCAACTCTGCCATGACTTCATTGCATTCAAACTAAATATACTGTCTACCACATCTGCAATATCTGAGCTATATAAAAAGCAATAGTTTGTTATATACAGTAATCACACGTATGCAGGGTGTCCAAGGTGAATACCGTACATCATGCAGATAAAAAAAACAAACCTTGACAGATATATTATAGGGTTTGTCTTTTCCTGTAGCTCAAGATTGTTTAGTGAATATTTTATGCTAGTGTTAACTGAGCTGATGAATAATGCATTAGGTAGATTAGGTGAGAGAAGCATTGTTAGCGCACAAGTTTTTCCATAAACACATTAGTCTACATACTATTCTTAAATGAGCTACTCTTTGGTAATAATGATTGCAGGCTTGACACGCTAGTAATCGGTACATATTACAAAGCTGTACTGAAGTCATTGCTATCACTAATTGGTGCACACAGATGTCATGATCTGGCTTGTAAATCATTATATATCTGGCCAAGTATAGACGTTGTCTCAAATAACTAGCACAGATCATGTCATTCTAGCCAGCAACAACACAAAGGCCATTTACAGAGCTTGCATTTCCAAGAGAAGCACACATCAATATGGCAATGGATCAATGTCTGCCGGTCATCTTGTTGGTGGATGTGTTTAATTAATGACCAAGCTGCCACATGTAATATCATTAGTGCATGATTTCATCTTGTAAATTGGAGTATGATAGAAATCATATTAATTGAAGTGCCACTGTAACCCAGTTCATCAGTAAATTTGCTTCCTAAGCTTCAAATGCTGAATATGAGGGCAAACATATGTTTGTCATACAAATATCCCCATTCTAATAAGATAAGGCCACTGCTTGCTTACATAATTCATAGTGAGACATAGACCAGGATAAGAATCTTTTTCCATGAAATCTATATGCATTGAAGCTCTGTGTGATGTAACCCTGTCGTTAGTTGATTTTTGCCTTGAGAAGCAGAGGAAAATGAAGCAAGATGATAATTGCCTTTCAGACTGATGAATCAATGCTCTTTAGCTCCTCACAAGGATTTTTCCCCCTCTTCCTGATATAGATAAGTCACATGAACATGATACTGCTGCACTGAAAGATAAAGCCGGTAGTTACGGATAAACTGTCAACAGTAGTCGGTACTGCCTTTAGAAACAATGTGTGTCAGTCAGGGAGAAACAATTATCTATTGCTGAGAAATCGTGCAAACTGGATGAGCATTGGAAACATGCCAATCTCCTTCTCAAAAGCTGGCTGACTTTATATCACAGTGTGATACATAAACTCTTTTGATTAAAAATACTTGTGGTTTTTATTTCAGTAACAAAAATGACTACAATGAATTCTATATTATAGATATAGTATCAGTAGATATAGTATCATTTAAATAACATAATGCATGAATATGGTTATCAATTAGTATGATTGGTGTAAAAGGTGTAAAGTTGACATCAAATGTGTCCTCGGCATCAAAATTATATGTCAAAATGTATACAATTTTTTAAGTGAACGTATATACACTACTGTTCAAAAGTTTCAAAATCAGAAATTTTTAGTTTTTGAAAGTCTTTTATTTGAATAAAAATACAGTAAAAACAGTAATATTGTGAAATATTATTACCATTTAAAATAACTGTTTTCTATTCAAATATATTTTAAAATGTTATTTAATCATGTGGTTTCAAAGCTGAATTTTCAGCAGTCATTACTCCAGTCTTTGGTGTCACGATCCTTCAGAAATCTTTCTAATATGCTGATCGGATGCTCAAGAAACATTTTTTTAATTATCATCGATGTTGAAAACAGCTGTGCTTCTTAATATTTTTGAGGAAACGGATACATCTCAGCATTTGTTGATGAATGAGAAGTTTAAAAGAGCTGCATTTATTCAAAATCTTTATAAGATTATAAATGTCTTTACTTTTAATAATTTTAATGAATAAAAATGAATAAAAGTATTCATTTACAATTATTAATAAAAAAAAAAAAAAATATATATGATACCCATATGTTTGGATTGTTTGGAAATCTGTATTTTATTTA